TAGTGTAACCGTTTCCAGCAGAACGGTTGTCGAGGGATTGACTTCACTTGTCTCTTTGATGAGTTCGTAGATTAGTGCGGAGAACGGCAAAGCTCATTGATGATGCCGACTACGATGCCGGCGAAACGTTTGAGAATGTATCAAGTCCATTGTCAGATGCTGGGAATCATGACAACTACGCAGACGACTTCGGACTAGGTGCGTTCTACATAGTCGCCCTGGCAACAAGACCAAGTTGCGACAACGAGGAGACTAGGTGCGTTCTACATGGTCTCCCTGAAAACAAGACCAAGTTGCGACAACGAGGTCAACCCACTTCTATTAAGTATCATTGCCTTAAGCATAATTGCTTCGGACGTAAGCGATCTCCGTCATTCTTTTCTTTGGGTTACTAAGCCTAAATAACCGAGACCTGACGTTAGGTTTTGTAATTACTTTGATTTAAGGCTTAAGGTATTGCTTGCAAAAGCTAACAGTCGCATACATATGCACACACTCAAGTAAAAATACCCTGACTGAAATGAAAGATAACTAACAAAATTATTCTATATGTATATGTATATATTCGTTTTTAGTTATGAGTATATATGACATTTAGGATTAAGTCGAAGTCTCCTTGAATTGTAAACTTGAGGATTTTTCAATGAGTTTTAGCTCTGATAATGTTTGTCATAAGACGGAAGAAAGCTATGTCCGGTTTTACCTAAAACGAAGAAAGATGTCTCATGGTATACGTCAGCTCGAGGGTTATACTAAAGCCAAGCACGGATGTAGGACAACGCGACCCGACTGTTGTATTTCGGTGAGATCAGAAACGAATCGCTACATGCTGCACTTTCATACGAAATAAAAGTCTTGAAAGCAATGTTATCTCAAGAGATTCAGACAGTCAAAATATTGAGGCAGTGCACTTAAGGGTATCTTCGAGATCAAACAAGACATCGAATAAGAACGATTATCCAAATAGAACAAGAATATACCGACTAAATAACAAAATTATATACAAAAAACTTGGAGATTAAATGGTAAGTTGCTTTTGTCCTACCCTATGTAAATCGTTAGAGATGGACAAGTCTTAGCCTATGCGAACAAGTCTGACAACATAAATTTTGACATTTTTGCAGATTATTAATACCTATCAAAGCAAAACTCGAGTTGAAGTGAAGTGAATTTAGTTAAGAAAAAAGATGACTCTGATCTCACTTAGATCTGAACTGATCCATCATATAGGCAGAGTTTCAACAACAGCGATCATCGAAATTCAAGAAAAGTAGACGTCGCAACCTTCTACGAACAATTTTTCGACGATGCGCACACGAAATAAGGGTCATGCCAAAATACCCATTCAAATATACTTGAAATGTGGCAAATTAGATCAAGAATTTCGAACAAAATGGGTTAATAACTGGCATGATTGCTGTATGGTTAAGATAAAATCAAAATCTCGTGGTATTGGGGGTCACAAAAAATCAACCATAGAACTCAAATCCATTGTGATGCAAGTTCACACGATGCACTTGTCTGATGCTAATATTTGCAATAAATTATAAATACACCTCTATGCTGCACAAATAGGTAAGAAAAAAAGATGTTTATTATTGAAAGTTTACTAATAGTACATGCTTTTGTAGATTATCTAGGCATAAAATAAAGATAAAACAACATCGGAACCCCTAAGGAGACCCAAAGTAATCATATAGAGAGGGTAAAGGAAGAATAGCTGAGTATAAATAAATCGCATGACAAATCATTGTAGCATTGGCCTTTATCTTGTGTTGAAGAAGAAATGAGTAAATATGGAGCATCCGAATTTGAAGACGAACCCAGCTTATTATTTTCTTTTGGTTTTAATGAAGCTTTGTGGCTTGCATAAATTAGAACTTAATTATTACTAATACGAGCCGTCTAAGTCTAAAATAAATGCTAGATTGTAAGGTTAAGGGGTTGAGTGATGAAACGAACAGTTTGAATAAAATTAACAAATTCAGAACTTTAGTTAGAGCCTGAACAAAAAATGGATAAAAAATGCAATAAAGTTATAAAGGAGGACTCAAACCCACCTCACGCCGTGAGTAGATCTGCTTTGATGATTTTTTACAAGTTGAGGGACGCCAAGCATCGCCTCTGTAAATAGAGCAGCAAACCCGAGAAACTCGATGTAAATAGTGACATGAGAGAACAGAAGAGTGACTGCAGCAACCACCAGGAAAAGAAGAACGGTGAAACGCAGGTAGCCACCGAAATCCGTCCATTTCCCAAAGTTACCGCGATCTGAATAATAAATGTGAAAGTGCTTAGCATGCAAGAATAATATATTCAATAGGAGAGCACATAAATATGAAGGTATAAAAAAGGTGAATATACTATACAAATAAAGAATAAAAGAATAAAAAATTAGCGACGGCTATCAGTTTGAAAATAGGGGTTAAATAAAGGCTTTACAAGAGGACCATTCACAAAGAGAAAATAACACTGTCCTCGGTATTGCCTTCCTTTCGAGAATATTCTGATCCGCTCTCCAGATCCGGCTGTTATAAGATTTTGCGTTCATATGGTAGTATCTATGTGGGAGAGACCTGTAGACCCATACATAAGAAGTTATCCGAACACAAAACAGTCTGCAAGGGTATGTGGGTACAAAAATCGGAATTGGCCGAACACAGCTCGTACAGGACACCAAATAGATTGGTCTAATACCAAACGCTTAGCTGGATACGGAGACTATACCAGTAGGCGAAAGATTAAGAAAGCGATAGAAAACAATAAAACAGCCATCACCCTGAAAAGAATGAATGGACGTATGAAGTTAAGCGGAAACTACTTGTGGCTATTGGATATGTTTAGAGAGATGGAGTTAACGAGAAGTACCACCGATCAAGAGGAGGCTTCGTTAGGCAGGAATTTGGTTTTGACTCTCACATCACATTTATTTCAAGAGTAATGCACTCACACAACGTGTGCAATGGGACGCAATAACATACAGTAACATTGCAGGATCAAAGGCATAATTGTTTTAGGGGAGAATGCAGCTGTTCGGTTTCAATTGCACCCATTTCACGCTTCATCTTTAGCAACTTCACGTCATCCGCAGCCACTTAAATTAACTTATGAGCAAATATATAGGCAAGCAAAAGATATCCAACCAAAACATGAGATGCCCAAGTGGACCAAATTGGACTATATGAAGGAAGTAGGTTTGAAGCTGGCCACTTTTATGGCCCTCGTATTTTTGATGAAATATCGTTAAGCATGGTGTCCTGCTCTGACGATGTCCATCACATAAGAGACAAAAGATCAACAAAGATTCATCGGGGTCGAAGAGTGGTGCGCCGAGGATCTGTTTGCACAAATCTACAACCACCGCTCCAAGGCAACCCCCCACAGCCTTCGGTGGAACCGACTCGATGAAAAGGTCGAAATGAGATTATGAGAAATAAAGTATTAAATTAGTCGATCAACCAGCATGAAACCTGAAGTCTTTTAGGCCTGTTGTGTGCGACTATAATATGCGCACAATAAAATCAGAGTAAAAGGAAACTGAATTTTTACTCTATCTAAAAGAGGCAAGTTTGATCAAAACTCATGATGACAGAAAGAAGAAGGAAAACAGCAGGGAACATGGTTAGGGAACGCCCCTAAAGTCAGAAGTCGTGAAATTGAAGAGGAGATGAGAAAATACGATATAGATTGATGCACTAAGACAGAAGAGATACTACAAATATCCAGTATAAAGTTGATCAAGGAATGGGCTTCACTTGTCTCTGACGAGTTGAAGCTTGGCCCTAATGGAAAGGCTTACTAACGATGCCAAATACAATGCTAAGTTCAGGGCCTGACCCCAGAAATTATCATAACTATTATAGCAGAGGTCTTAGAGCAAGATTCGATCAGTTGAAGTGTCCTAAAAACACGATGAAGTCGCGGAAACGGAGTCAAACCACTGCAATAAGACACAACATAAAAATTTACCGGACTATCATCTGATTAAGTTATCTGCTGATCAACTAATTTTCTTGACTCATAAGAATTTTTTGTTAAAAATAGCAAAACATCAGCAGTTTTCCATTGTTGTATGTACATAAAATGTGAGCTTTTTTGCATCACGCTTTCTTTATAATTTACAATTAATCTAAGAGGAACATCCGCCTTCTGGACCTTAGGAAGATCGTAAGCCATGAGAGCACTTGTATCTCTCTAAAGTAATGAATTTATTTTACATTTCTATATTTCACCATTACTATCTCATACCCTAAGGGCATCATTTAGCCTAGTCTTAAGTCTTTCTTTTATATCTCTCATTAAAGGCATGTGTTAGCATAATTTAAATGAACTACCATTTTTCCATATAACTTGATTTAAACATGACTACCACTACTCCACCATTGTCAGCCACATAAATACATATAAACCCAACTGAAGACACAAGCCTTCTTTGGAAGGATAATCTGGTCAAAATAAGTCCATTAAAATTAATAAATTAGGGTAGACAGCGAATATGAGGAACGGTGCTATAAAGCTGAGGAGAGAGTGCGTAGAGCAACCATTAGACAAGAGGTGACTCAATCCGTCGGTCCTATTATATTTCTAACCTTACATTAATACATGTAGATAGAACTCATCAACCAAACCAGATGTATTAGATTACGCAATCGCAGTAATGCCTTTCCTAAAGTCATTAAACCTTAATGAGTCTTGACGGAGAGGCGCTTATAGGCTTACATCTCATTGTCTCAACCAGAGTTGCTTACGGGCTTACGCAGGGTCGGTCATATTTTTTTCTTGGATCATTAAGCTTTGGTGACCCAAGCCAAATATTAGGTGTTTCAATGACTTATAACCGGTATTGCTTATATACGTTA